AACCACATCCAGAGAAAGAACTATGGAGTCTGAATGCAGATCCAAGCCTATTATTTTCACCTTTTTATTATTTTTTTCTTTCTCATGGATTTTCCCTTTTGTTCTGATTCATCTTTCACAACATGACTGATGTGGAAATATGTTTAACATGATTATACATGCATAACGTATATCAGATTTTATGCTATCTTAAGGAGGGAGGAGGAAAGGGAGGGAAAAATATTTGGAACTCAAAATCTTACAAAAATGAATGTTGAAAACTATCTTTACATGTAATTAAAAAAATAAAGTTCTATTAGGAAAAAAATGGTGCGTAGACTCACAAAGTACTTTGGACTAAAACTCAGAACGTGTTACATAAATAGTTTCTTTCTGTGCATTTGTACTAAAAGTAATCCCATGGCTTTGTTTTGGTAGTAATAGCTGAGGGATAGGTTTATGAACCAATTGAGAATCACAGACTCTAAAGTCAGCAGAGAACCCTCAGCAGCTGTCCATTCCAATCTATACTCAACATAAAAACCCCACTACAACAACAAAAACATCATCATCGTCATCATCGTCATCATCCCTAACATTTCTATAGCACTTATTACATGCCAAGCACTGTGCTAAGCCTTTTACAAATATTAGCTCATTCATTGTCAAAAAACCCCCTGAAGGTAAGTGCTATTATCCCCATGTTATAGATGAGGAAACTGAGGCAAAGACAGAGGTTAAGAGACTTGCCCAAAGTTACATAGCTAGTAAGTGTCTGAGGCTGGATTTGAATTCAAGTCCTCCTGAATCCAGACCTAGTGCTTTATCCACTGCACCAAATAGCTACCCCTATAACATACATGATTAAGTGATCATCTCCTCTTTAACTGAAGACCTCCAGTGAGAGAAAACTTGTTACCTCTGAGGGTGGTCCACTCTAATTTTGCTATTAAGCTATACGTTCAAGCAATGCATTCCCTGCAGAGGAACAAATCTTGTGTGTGTACACAAGGAATGTCCCAAGCCACTGCAATCCCAAGTCTGGTTCCCAATTCTCCCTACCCTTACCTTTGGGGCTGTGGTGGGGAATGATTATTCAGACTGAGGATGAAAAGGAGAAGCCTCCCCATTGGGCAAGGACAGGGGAAGAAGCAATGAAGACGTTAAAACAAAGAAGGATCTTGCCTTACCAAAAGTCAGATGTCATTTCACTTCTTTTTTAGTACAAGATCAGCGGTGATGGTTTGTACCGTCACAAGGCATCATTTTGCCTCATCTTTCACTTCTATGCCTTTCTAGAAGAGAATCTTGATGCATGAATTCAGTTCTGAGTGAATTGCACCACAGAAGTTAAGTGAGTGTAAAGTCCTCAAAGGAAAGATGAAAAAATGGGTTGGCAGGTTTATAAAGCTTGCCCGAGTTTGACCTCAGAATAGAAACGTCTACTCTCTGGAGAGTTCAGCCCATTCTTTCTCCAGTGTGCACCTGAGCTTCAGGAACTAGCTATGAAAAATTCATCCAGTGATGCTTCCAACAATCCCACCTATGTCCTTACCATCTGCTGAACGTAAGTCACATTAAAACTTCAAAGCGAATTCACAATCCTCGTTGGCAGCAAATCTTGCTAGTGACTAGGTGAGCTGTTAGTTCAGTCAAGTCCTCCCCACTGACGGGAAATATCTGTGCAAAACCTGCAGTAATTTGTCTTTGTATCCAGCTAAACATAGGGAAAGGGGCTAAGAAGTATTATAATCAACTAAACAGTTGCAGAAGCAGCAGGTGGTACCATTATGGTGCTGTATTTTATTTCCAATAGTTATGCTTGTTATCCAAATTCTCTTTATTCTTTAGTTTCCATAGATGGCAACAGGAACCAAACTCCTCAAAAGGACTTATGTGTGTGTTTTAGCCTTCAAATACATGTTTATACTTTTTAGAAACATCCGCATCTTTAAAAACCTGAAATGTGTCTTCGCTCCTGTTAATTAGGTGATGGTATATCAGTTAGGTGACTAAGTCTCCCTTCAAAGCTAACCTAGGTTCTCTACTTCATTCCACCAATGCTACTGCTGCAGAATAGATCCTTTGTTATTGAACTGGAAGCTAAACACAGGACAACATGACACCCTCATATTTTAAATTAATTACAATATGACCAAACTAGGAGCTTAATTTCCAGGCTCGACCATTCCAATCTTATCCACCACACAAAGGTTTCCTTCTTTATAGTCTCTGTGCTAGGAGAAAATTTATCTTCGTTGAATGATAATTGGCTGTATTATCTTTTGACTCTTCAGAAATGCTGGCTGGCAAGTTTAAAAAAAATTTCATCAATCTTGTTTTATGTTTTTACAAAGCTTGCATCAGAAGGGAAAAAAAGAGAGATGTCTAAGTCTGCAGAGCACACTATGTCTTGCTAGCATTATGAATAGGTCCGGAGAATATCTAATTTACTAATAAACCTAGTAAGGTGTTGTAGCCTTCCATGTTTCATGGCCTAACAAGAGATCTGGTATTTGAGGCCCTCGCCTTCAGTTTCAAACCCATTCATTCCTGGCAGGAAGCACTGCTTCCACATAGGATGTGGGGTACAAAATGGAAAACTATGAGGGCCCATGAAAATTTATCAAGAACTCTGTGCTTGTTTTTTTGTTTGTTTGTTTGTTTTTAATTTATTTACAGTGAGGAGACAAATACCTATACATTGTCAAACACTGAGCCAAAACTCTACAAATGAATAACAAATTTGTTCTCAGAAATTTGTTCCTCTTCCTTTTTTCTCCGTATTTCCAGCTTTATTTTTTTGGACACTTCACTGCTTATTAATACTTCCTCTAGGTTGTGGGCATATGAATTATACGGAAATTAAGCACAATTCAAATAATTAAAATATTTATAAACAGCATCTGGGCTATTTTCTGGTTACTTTGAACATGCAAACTAATGAAATTAAATGTTAAGATTTCTATAGATTTCAATCAACCCTGTTCAAGGCTTCATGATGTTAGAATCTTGAGATGTCAATATATTAATTTTAATTTTTCTTTTATTAATTTGTAGACTTTAGGCATGTAGGAATCCACTAGCAGTCTAATAACTTTGATATTAACTAGAATCTTCCTAAATTTTCTTCTATATTTTCTTCCACTGTAATGAGGTCAATCTCTTTCTCATTTTTCAAAATTTAACTCCTCTTGACTTGTTATCTTTCTGAGTTTTATTCTGTAGCTCTTTCTGAGAACAGTTGGTTAAGTTTAACTAATAGAACTAGTAATAGTATTTGTGGAATCTGAAACTAAATGTCATGACAATAATCTAGCTTTATATGAGTTCCACTTAACATCATAACATCATTTCTTCATCATTATTTAGGAAAAATTTTCCCCAAATAATAATAGATTTTAACTTAATTCCACCTTGCTGAATTATTTATACATCAGTATGTCCCATGAAGTGAATTTTGTGAAACAATCAATGGGTTTTTTCTTTGAGGCACTTAAAACCCCAGAACCTGTAACAAAGAGCTCCAAAGCACCAAAAAAAGGCCATATTTATGCCCAGACTGGCATGTGTTTCTGTTGTCATGATAGCTGGATTGTTTCCTATGAATTTTGGGGGTCTGGATCTATAAGCGTAAGGAGCTCCTGAGTGGTTACTGATACAGTGATCATCATGGCTACAGATTCACATTCATCAGTTTCCAAGAGATGCTTGGGGCAGCAAGATGTGTCAGGGGCAGGATTTGGACTCAAGACTTCCTGATTCCAATGCCAGCCTTCTTCGTGCCACAGCACACTGACTCTATTTCTCCCACAATGTTTTAAGGTTGTCAGTTCTCCAGGAATTAAGGTGGCCAAGGGGAATGGAGAGGGAGCACACATAGGTGACGGGGACCCACAATGAATAAAACAGAATTGCTAAAATCCGTGTCTGTCAATCCTAACCTTTCTGTCCTCATTTTCCCCTCTTGCACAACCTCCCCAAATAAAATATAATTTATCTTCAGTAATTTTCCAAAACAATAGGAAAAATCACTTAAGCAAAAACCCCTATCTAGCTATTGTACGAATGAAGCTAGATCATGTCCCCTCCAACCAAAGTACTTAGCTTATTCTTTCCCATTTTTTTAAGGTTGGCAGTTATTGCTAACTCTTGGGATCTGATCATAATATTGTTAAAGCTTACTATTTAGTATCAGTTTCCCAAACTGTGCTTATTCAACAACACCAAAGGTACATTTTATACCATGAAGACACTAAGATATCTGAATATTAAAAATCAGGGTACATAAAAGTTCAGTGACCGTTATAATGTTTCTTTGATAGATAAACATATCTTAATATCTAAAGTGATAGCCAAACAACTATGTTAGTATTCAGCATCATTTTCTTCTCTATAGAAACTATTAGGTACTAAGACTAGGCTTGTCTTTTACAGGCCAAAATTTTGAAGTAAATTTCATTGATAAAATTATATTTGCAAATGGGATGTCTTTCATGAATCATGTTGTAGCATAACTAAGGTGAGTGACGGAAAATATCAGTTTAATCAGGTAGAAAAATGGATTAGTTATTATGTACATTTAATACAGTTTATTTTAGCTCAACTCAAAAGGAATTTTCCTAAGGCTTTTCATGCTGAGCCAGAAAGACATAATCGTCTTAGCTCTTCTAGTTCCAATTAGGAGTCAGGAATATAATCCCTGTTAGTTGAGAAACATTTTTAAAAGGAAAAAAAAATCACAAATCTATAAAAGCAAAAGCATAAAACTGTTCGTAAAACTCAAAGAACTTTCATTCACAAACATTATATGTATCAACATTTCCTAGCATAACCAAGTATTATTTTTAAAGAAAACTGTAAGTTAGAAGTTCTACCCATATGCTTTTGGCATCTGATTAATAAAAGAGATAATCAGGTTAACTAAAGGAATGTCCTATTTAACATCATTGTCGATTAAATCAAATTGTTTATTTTTCAATAGCATCATTTGAGCTTTCATTTAGCATTTTAAGACTTACTTTCTATGCTCAAATAAGTGAATGGGCTTGTCTTATTTTCTCCATTTTTTTCGTTGACAGCCTGGACATAGTAACCTCCTGTATCACTTGGAGTTGTTGCCAACATCACCAGTTGATTCTCCAGGGTTATGGCTCTGTTTAAGAAAGCAAAAAGATAGTATCAATTCACCAAAGAGGGCTTCTCATTTTCTATGCCAAAAATAAATTTCTAGGTCATCTATATAAAAAAAGGGGGAGGGATAAAGAAACCTTGAGAGTTGAAACAAATCTCTGGGCAGGCTTTAAGGAAATTTAGGTCACTGACCCTTCCCTATTCAAACTGTGATAAATACTTATAGGTTAACACACAGCAGATTATAATACTAGGAAGATAAAAATTAGAAAAAATAATGTAGCCCTTTGGTAGGGTATCAGTAACTGAGAATAGCAAGGGACATTTCAGTGATGTAATAAAACGAATTTCCTTTATGGTGCTCATCTTTCATATTTCTAATAAAGAATCTTCTTTAAATTACTTCTCATTTCTATTTTTATTAGCTAGATCATAACTATTTAACTTACCTTCTTCATGCAAAACAAAAGTGTTCCCTTTAAGCCAACACATACAAAAGCTGCATCTTAAACTAAAAGATTATATAGTTATCACTTCCACATTGCAGGGGTTAGAGGCGTGGCACCCCCACAAGCTGGAAAATCTATGTAAAACTTTTTGGCTCTCCCTTCATACTACAGAAGATGTCTGGATTATTATGGTATTAAAAGATAAAATATGTTGATATTATACAATACTGAAATATATTTTATGCATTTCTGAGTTTCTTAATTTTTCTGTGTCATCAATCAATTAAGGGAATCAGGGAATCACTTAAGGCTTCATGGAAGAAGGGACATTAAGTTGAGCCTAAAATGAATGATAATAAGGATTTTGAAATGCAGAATGGTAAAGAGGGAGTACATTTCATTCAATAAACATTTATTAAGCACTGACTATATGCCAGGCACTGTGCTAAGTGCTAAGGATGCAAAAAAGAGGAAAAAAACAGTTGCTACTTTCAAGGAGTTTCCAATCTCCAGATACGGTGCAGAGCTTGTAGGAATTGCAAAGGTAAGAGATGATGCATTGAGTTCAAGAAATACCTTGATACTATCTATCAGGTAATACTATGATTTGGCTGGAACATAGAGTACATGAAAGGGAGTACAATACTATGAAATAGGGTTAAAAAGGCAGGCAGGAGCCTGATAGATTAGGGAGGGCTTTAAATACAAGAATAAGGTGTCCACATTTTATCCTGGAAGCAACCCACTTAAGGCTCTGGAGCCATGGAGTGGCATGGTCAGGCCTATGCCCTAAGAAAATTATTTTAGGAGCTGTATTGAGCTTGGGTTGAACAGGGAAGAGATAAAAGTCATGGAGGACAATTATAAAGATATCACATAATGTACATGAATCAAGTGGTAGCTATGTGAGTAGAATGAAAGGGATAGAGATATTATAGGGGTACAAATGATGATCTTTGGTAACTGATAAGGAAGAACAGTGAGGACAAGGGAAGATAATTCCAATGCTATGAATCCAAATGACTAGGAAGATACCCTCAAAATAGGTAGAAAAATTGAGAGATAGGGTAAATTTAAGGGAGAAGACAGTCAATTCTATTTTAGATACGTTGTGCTTGAGATACTGATGAATCATTTGGGTGAAGACATAGAGCAAGAAGCTGGCAATTTGAGAAGATAGATCAGATTATATACATAGATTTGGGGGTCATTGGTATGGAGGTTATCATTGGACCTATAGACATATATGATATCATCAAGCAAAAAATTATGGAGAAAGAAAAAAAGAGGGCCTAAGTCTTAAAGAACACCTATGATTGGAAAATATGATGATGAAACAGCAAAGAGAGAAGAGAAGAAAGGATATGGTTATGTGTCAGTGGGTTCATCTCAGAGATCCAGTTGAGTACTTGAGCACATACAGTCTTTATATTTTCAGGATTTCATCATGGCCCCCCTTTCATCTGCCCACCTTTCTCCGCTAACATGAACATCACTCTAATGCAAGGCCACTTCACCCCTCACCTAAATTATTGCAACAGCCTCCTAACTATCCACTGTACCTCCAATTTTCTATCCTCTCCAATCCATATTTCACAAAGCTATCAAAAAGAAATAACTAATGAATGGGTATGACTATGCTACACCCCTGCTCAAAAAGCTCTATTGTCTCTTTATTACCTCTAGGAAAAATACAGACTTCTGATTGGTATTGAAAATCCTTCTGGGAGCAGAGCCAAGATGGAGGAGTAAAAGCAGTGACTTGCTTCAGCTGTCCCCCAAACCTCTCCAAATACCTATAAAAAATGGCTCTCAACAAATTCTAAAGCAGCAGAACCCACAAAAAGACAAAGTGAAACAAATTTCCAGCCCAAGACAACTTGGATGATTGATTGGAAAGGTATATCGCGGTGGGCTGGGAGAGGAACGCAGTTCAGCATAAGCGCGCAGACTACAGTGAACCTGGAGCAGGCCTCAGAGGACTGAATCACGGGCAGCTATGGTGGTTTCCAGACTTCTCAACCAACGAACGCCAAAGACAACTTAGAACGTCAGTGGGAAAAGTCTGTTTCTGCAGTGAGAGAGAAGAGCGGGGTCCCAGCCCCCTTCCCTGAGCTTGGCCTGGGGCGGTGGTTGCTCCTGAGCTTCTGGCCCACAGACTGAGGGGGAATCAAGGGGCTAATCAGAGGGGGATTGCAGGGATCTCCCTGCTGGTGCAGTATTCTCTTGCTTTGCCCATACTTGGATCTGGGTCACAGTTCTGCACGGAGATCCTGGAGCGAGGAGGGGCGCTGGCGAGATGGAGCTTCCAGCATAGTGGCTGGAAGAGGGAATCTTCCTCCCAGTTCCAAGATAGAAAAGAGTGCTTGTGGTCACTCATAGCACCTTGGAAGAAGTGAAAATTTACAGGCCCCTAGAAGTATCTCTGAAACAGCTGCACAAAATCGCTGAAGCTTGGGATAGTACATTCTCCACACTGGAAACAGACCCCTACCTTAACAAAGAGTTTATACCTCAAGTAATTGGCCAGGATCATGAGCAAGTAGCGCAAAAAGAGTCAGACTACATTATTTTATTTTGGTGACAAAGAAGATCAAAACATACAACCAGAAAAAGACAAAAAAGCCAAAGCCCCTACATCCAAAGCCTCTAAGAAAAATATGAATTGGTCCCAACTCATGGAAGAGCTCAGAAAGGATTTTGAAAAGCAAGTAAGAGAAGTAGAGGAAAAACTGAAAGTGATGCTAAAGGAGACCCCCAAAAATACTGAAGAAAATAACACCTTAAAAAATAGCCTAACCCAAATGGCAAAAGAAGTCCAAAAAGCCAATGAGGAGAAGAATGACCTAAAAAGAAAAACTGGCCAAATGGAAAAGGAATTCCAAAGTTTATGGAAGAAAATACTTCCTTAAAAATTAGAATGGAGCAATTGGAAGCTAGTGACTAAATGAGAAATCAAGACACTGTAAAACTAATCCAAAAGAGTGAAAAAATAGAAGAGAATGTGAAATATCTCATTGGAAAAACAACTGACCTGAAAAATAGATCCAAGAGAGAGAACTTAAAAATTATTGGGCTACCTGAAAGCCATGATCAAAAAAAGAGCCTAGACTTTATCTTTCAAGAAATTATCAAGGAAAACTGCCCTGATATTTTAGAACCAGAGGGCAAAATAGAAATTGAAAGGATCCACTGATTACCTCCTGAAAGAGATCCCCGAAGGAAAACTCCTAAGAATATTGTAGCCAAATTTCAGAATTCCCAGGTAAAGGAGAAAATATTGCAGGCAGCCAGAAAGAAACAATTCAAGTATGGTAGAAACACAATCAGGATAACACAAGATTTAGCAGCTTCTACATTAAGGGACCAAAGGGCATGGAGTATGATATTCCAAAGGGCAAAGGAGATAGGATTACAAGCAACAATCACCTACCCAGCAAAACTGAGTATAATCCTTCAGGGTAAAAAATGGTCATTCAATGAAATAGGGAAGCCTTTCAAGCATTGCTGAGGAAAAGACCAGAGCTGAATAGAAAATCTGACTTTCAAATACAAGACTCAAGTGAAACATGGAAGAGGTAAACAGGAAAGAGAAATCATAAGAGACTTATTAAGGTTGAACTGCTTACAATCCTGCATGGAAAGATGATATTTGTAACTCATGAGTCCTTTGTCAGTATGAGGGTAGTTGGAGGGGAAAAATTATATTCATGGATAGGTAGATAGATAGATAGATAGATAGATAGATAGATAGATAGATAGATGGCACAGGATGAGTTGAAGATGAAGGGGTGATATCTGGAAAATAAAATTAAGGGATGAGAGAGGATTATACTGGGAGAAGGAGAAAGGGAAAAGTAGGATGGGGTAAATTATCTCACACAAAACAGAGAAGAAAAGACTTTTACAGTGGAGGGAAAATGGGGGAAGGTGAGAGGGAAGGAGTGAATCTTATTCTCATAGGATTTAGCTTAAGGAGAGAATAACATACACAATGGGGTATGGAAGTCTATCTTACCCTACAGGAAAATAAGGGGGAAAGGGGACAAGAGAGCAGGGAGTTGATAGAGGGGAGGGCAGACTGGGAGAGGGGATAATCAGAAGCAAACTTCTGAGGAGGGACAGGGTCAAAAGAGAGAATAGAATAAATGGGGAGTAGGATAGGATGAAGGGAAATATACTTAGTTTTTCACAGCATGACTACTATGGAAGTGTTTTGCATGACTACACATCTATAAACTGTATCAAGATGCTTGCCCTTTCAATGAGGGTGAGTGGGGAGGGATGAAGGAAGAAAATTTGTAACCCAAAGTTTTAAAAACACATGTTAAAAATAAAAAAAGTCCTTCCCAATCTTGCTGTAACCTAATTTTCAAGATGTTACATATCACTCCTCTTCTCAAACTACAACACATTACGACTGGCCAATTGGCCATTTCTCACACGTGACATTCCATCTCCAGGCTCTGTGACTCTGCCCATGTTATGCTCTATGTCTGGAATGCACACACTCCTCAACCCTGTGTGTTACGATACTTAGCCTCCTTCAAAGCTCAGTTCAAATGTTACTTCT